GCACTACGTCACCTCAATCAAGCACACTCGAGACGACTTGTGTGGTTTTTCTTCCATCAGCGCCATTGCCAAACCCGTAGGCGCGTTTTCTGGACGATCGGCAGCCGTCCGACCGACGGAAATAGTCAACGCCAAAGTTCCAGGTCGACTCTGGTCACGAGTCTGGTCGCGTCTGTTGGCCGGTCTACAGCCCAGTTCTGGCCAATTGGCCGCGTGTGACACTCGCGAGTGGATTTCGCTGAGCCGAAGTAACAGCAACAACTGCGGTTTCGGCCACCTTCAATTGGGCGGGTCGGCCATTGGCCGGCCTGTCCTTCTGTCGGGACTCGGTGCCCAAACCACCGTCACGAAAGGCGGCCAACTGGCCTTGGTTCGAGGCCCCAGCGGGCCACTGATGGGCACAATCTGGCCGGGTCTGGGTGGCCAGAAGATGCAGGCCACACGTGGACTTGGCAAACCACAGTTGGATGGTCCGATTGGTCAATCGGCCAGCTCCGGGCAGCTCGAAGTAGGACAGTCGAGAGATGAGGCGAGGCTTGGACTCAGGGCTCATCAAGAGATTCCACCGAGGCTGACACAGCCCGGCTTCAGACGGCGGTCAAGAAAGTGGACCCTGAAAAAGAAGACAGACTCGGCCCGAGCTAAGACGAAAGAGCTGGACAATTCTGAGGTACGATTTGATCCAGAATGCGTTTAAGAGGCAAATATGTCCTTTCACGAGTCTCTGGATTCATATTTGCCGAGTTAACCTACATTTTGAGTGAAAGTTTGTAGGCCAAACCAACAAAATAACGTCGGATTACTTTATTTGTACATTATGATTTATGCAATTGTCAGTGCGGTGAAACTCGCCATGTTTTCCTTTCGTTTGAAAAGGCGGGTAAAGTGTTTCGTTAATTGGCCGCCTCGGATACATCTCATATTACCGATTTACTGGTAGTCTCGAAATTATACTCAAATACGAAAAATAAGTAATGTAGTCGCTTGTCGTACCAAATATACGTTTACTTCATCGACAATCCCACCAAAGAATGTGATATGGG